CAAAATGACCATTCTTATGGGGTAGTGATTTTCATCTATCTCTAATAAAATTTATATATATATATATATATATATATATATATATATATATATATATATATAATCGTGTAACAGCATGGGATAATTATCCATCCCACAAAATGTTTAATCGCTAAAAACACTAAACTATTTGAGTTTTTTTTCCGGATTTTCAGATAAGACGTTTAGTCATCTGGATATCATTTGTGGTAAGAATCACAGAACAAATACTTTGAGTTATTCAGGTAGAAAGAGAATAAGTTAAAATCATTTTGTGTCATCCCCACTCTGTCTCCCAAAATGAGATGCAAAAGATCATTCAGGCCTTCAATAATGGTACCAAGATTCATACTCTGGTTTTCTTCTTCGAAGTCCATTTATGAATCATCAAGAGAACGGTGAATAATTAAAAAGAAAAAAAGAAGGAAAAGTAGAGAAGAAAACTGGATGAGGAAATCAGAACGAGAACAGGGATCACCATTTCAATTGAGCGCTAAATACATTCTTATTGTTCAAAGTAGAGTTCAATAGTGTTATAAAACCCTCGGAGAAATCCAGTAATATATCTTTAATCATTTCTAAGATACAACGATTCAAATCTTAATCTAACAACTGGACAATTTTGGTGTTCCTCGATTTGGACAATTTTTCTGTTACAATATATATATATATATATATATATATATATATATATATATAATATTGTCCAAATCGAGGAACACCAAAATTGTCTATATATATATATATATATATATATATATATATATATATATATATATATAAAGCACACCTTAAAACTGTATTTCTTCATATATATATATATATATATATAGCATAATGAGAAGCCACGTATACTTTCTTAATATGTATATATAGAAAAGTTTCAAATTAAAAATTATAATGTTTTATTTTATTATTTATTTATTTATATATATTTGATATTTCAAATTGTCCTCAATTTTTCATCAGAAATAACTGTTTGTTACAAATAAATTAAAATTACTGTTTGTTGGCAAGTAGCGTCCTTTCGCGAGACGCGGACGTCACGTGATATGGAACGTCACTGTTCAGATATTCCTAACTTAAATCTAACTGTCATAAATATTTAAAAATTTATTTGTAACAAACAGTTATTTCTGATGAAAAATTGAGGACAATTTGAAATATCAAATATATATAAAATAAATAAATACTTTCATAAAATAAAACATTATAATTTTTAATTTGAAACTTTTTCTATATATATATATATATATATATATATATATATATATATATTTTTTTTTCCATATTTTTTCATATATATATATATATATATATATATATATATATATATATATATATATATATATTGTTTATTTAGGCCGAAATCCTTCTTTCATGCAAGCTTCATTAAATATGTTTTATATTTCTCATTTGATGTTTTTTTTTTCCTAGATAAATTATATAAATTATATAATTTATGTACGGAAGAAAAAAATTATAAAATCACATAAGAAATTATATAAAACTTATATATATATATATTATAAAAAAATATATATATATATATATATATATATATATATATATATATATATATATTATGTAAATTGTATAATTCATATTAGAAATGAAATTATATAAAATCTTAATCAAAGCACCTTGTCTGTCATATTTAATAAAGCTTGCATGAAAGAAGGATTACTGCCTAATTACACATATATATATATATATATATATATATATATATATATTATGAAACGGACTAAGCTAATTATTTTAATATATTTATATTTTTAATATATTTTCTGTTTATACGTCATTTTACTTTTTTATAATAAACAATATTAAACATACAGGCCGGTAAACGTTGTTAAAACTGTAGAGTATAAAACAGCTTTTACTTAAGTATTTGTATCTATAAAAATAACGTATAAATATTACTTATATATATATAATATATGCATCTCTAAAAATATTATATATATATATATATATATATATATATATATATATATATATGATATGTAAGGCTCTAAAAATAACGTATAAATATTATATATATATATATATATATATATATATATATATATAAATCTTTATACGTTATTTTTATAGATACAAATTCATACTCTATAGATACATACGTGTTAGGGGGAGAGGTAACTCGTATAGAAAAGTAAAAATGAGACAAACATGTAAAAGCCATGTATTATCAACTCATTTTGCATTCGTAGTCCGGTAAACGTCTACAGATCAGCATAAAAGACAAATTTATATAAAAAATATTTATATGTAAAAACTATGTATTGATTAATAAAAAAATGAATTGGTTACACACACATACACACACACACTTATATAAATACACACACACACACACACATATATATATATGGATATATATAGATATTTTGATGAAAAAAGAATGTATGAATGAATATATATACATATATATATATATATATATATATATATATATATATATATATATATGTAT